CTCCCGTCTTGTCTTCCCTTTGTCTCCGGTCTTGTCTCCCTTCTTGTTGGTCATTGTGTCCGTCTTGTCTCCCTTCTGTTTCCTTTTGTCTCCCTTCTTGTCTTCCTTCTTGTTGGTCATTGTGTCCGTCTTGTCTCCCTTCTGGTTCCTTTTGTCTCCCTTCTTGTCTCCCTTCTTGTCTCCCTTCTTGTTGATGTCTCAAAAAGTGGACTTGGGAATGCTTCGTTGTTGCCCCACCTGTTTGGGGTCTACGGTGGTGTAATTTTGTAGATTCTGCCAGACTCACCTCTAGCAAGGCCGACTGCCTAGTCTTATAATGTGTGTGATACTAGTTTGGATAGGATTGAGGAGCAATCGTGGATTGGATGGGAACCCTCTGCATTTGGGCCGGCCGGAACGCAGACACCTTACTGGCACGACAGCAATAGGGACAGGGACGACCTGACAAATGGATGTGGAGGCATAGCCAGTGCCTTCTATTCTGGAATCGGACATTTAGCCTGTCCTGTGCCGTTTGCGAAGGGAAGGAAGGAAGACAAGAAAGACTAACAGGTACAGGATGCCTTGTTTTTTTTTCTGGATTCGCGGGATCCGTTAGTTGTCCTCGATTCAGCAGCGGCTGAGTCCGGAGTCAAAGAAGTCAAAGTCGTGACAGGTCCTGGGCAGCTTCAAAGAGCCACGCGCATTGAAGGAACTGATGCCAACATTTGCCAGGGTTTGCGAGGTCTACGTTCGGGAAGACGTAAGATAGATCGTATATTAGATTATATTAGTATATATTGGATAGTATTAGTATATGATGATAATGATGTCCGTGCCAAGCACTCGAGAATCCATCGCTTATTCCTAAATTAGTGGTCATTTGACCCGAATGTTCACTTGCTCTGGCAGCGAAGATTGTGTGGTTTCCCCAATTACAATTGCACTGCTGCAGGAACTTAGACCATTGGACCTTCATTCTTAGCCAGAGGAGTCTGGAGTGTTGATCGCTCCTCCCTGAAGCAGTTTGTACAAAGGCTTGAGCAGGCATGTTTAAAGTCCAGCTCTGACATGCTTTAGGATTCTGGGGGCAATTTTACTTCTCGCTTAAAGGCTTAAACACTGCATGTAGTATCATAGCACACTACAGGCTCCACTGCAATGCTCAGACTCAGAAACTCAATTCTTTAAGCTCTTTAAGCCGTTTAAGCATTGACGCGAAAAGCAGCAAAAAGTTGCTGTTCCATCCAAAGAGATGCCAAAGACTTTCAGCTCTCTCAAGAGCGCGTCTGTTTTACGAAGAGTGGGCCCAACACTGTCAAACAAAGAGCTGTTCTCGTGACTCAACTCATCACCTTCAGGTCCAACTTCAGGTGTCACATGTGTTTGCAACAGTGTGAGTCCTGTGCTTCAAGAAGACAGTCTTGACGAGCTGCTGAAATGCGCCTTGCAGACACGATCTGAATAATTCGTGCCACGTCCGCTTGGGATTCGACATGCGTTTGTACAGGTCCCTTTTCGGTGGCCGATTAGACTATTGCAGGCCGCCCTCTTTTGGGCGCATTGACCGGCGCCACAAAATGCAGCCCAGCAGCCACTGTGAGCAGTAGTTTCGTTACGACTGGCAGCAGAGCCTCCTTGTAATCAATCTTTTGGCTTACTGCTTACTATTGAGCTGAGACTTGGCAGTCATGGAAGACATCACAGAGCTGCGTGACAGGTTCCCTTGCAAACGGGGCATATTGCAATGAACTAACTATAGTTTGATAGTTCTGAGAATCTTAGACCTGCTCAGGGGAGAGAGAAAGACCGACCTGGTACCAGCCAAAAAAAGAGGCGCATTAATGTGGGATCCCTGCGATTTTCATTGTTGACTTTGTATGGAAGTGCCACCTGTTGCGCTTTTGGCTTCCTATGTCGTGAAATCTATCTACCTAACTTGAAAGTGAAAGGCAGTGCAGGTGGAAGTTCCGTGCAATATATGGTGGATTCGGCGAAGTTCTTGTTGTTACCTGGCGCTAGCTGAGAAACACCTTTCTATTTAAACTACGGGTCCCGTACAGCAAGACCAAAAGAGAATAAGACACGGTCATTCAGGTTAATTATTACAATGGCCTCCAACCTAATAGCGATGGCCTCCAACCTAAGGCCGATCGGGCCGATGGCCACACTGCTTAATTAATCTTTATGTTTTATAATGATTTACAATACAGGAGTGCAAATGGGAGGCCATCCAGCGGGCGGCCTGGGACCGCCAAGAAGGACGGCTGGGGCCTTGATACCTGTGACAGATGAGGAAGTTCTCTTTCTTTCATCTCTCCATCGAAAGCAACTGATACACGTTTGTTGACATCATTGAGCCCACGAAAGGCAATCGTTCCACGTGTGAGAGTTGCGGTCTTTTATGGAGGAGTATTTCAATAGTAAGTGTTTTCTATTCAACTGACCATTCGAAACTGGCCAACGGTTTTCTGACTGCTCAATAACTTTTCTTGTTCAATGTATCGAAATCCTTGTCTCAATGCTGTTTTGCTGCACAATTCAAGGTGCAGCAGCTTTCCCTCAGGCGCCTTGCTTGAGTGCTACATCACAGGGAGATTTATATACCATCACTTACTTTGACAAATTACACATCGGGTCAACAGAATCAATGTAATAGAACTCCTTTGCAAAGATATCTATAACACCTTTGCAAGGATATCTATCATATAAAAATCAGTCGGTTCAGGTAGTGGGACCAATGGCCGAAGGGGGATGAGAGGAAGGTGAGATTGTTCGCTGATCATCTCCCACCGACATCCCTGGAGGGATTGGCCGATTGGCCCATAGCCCTAGTAGCATCCTTGCTCCTAGTAGTGATGCCAGGAGCCCCTAGTAGCGTCCTTGCTCCTAGTAGTGATGCCAGGAGCCCCTAGTAGCGT